TGTTATAGCTTGGTTTTTTCAAGCTTTATCTTTTAATTATTATTTTAAGTTTGAAATCCTAGTTGGGATGCATACGCCAGAGTTTCTTCGATACTGCGTGCTCGTTAGTGGAGGTGCAACAGATTGTCTTAATTTTGATGTTTGGTAAAGTATTGGCTTTTCACTCGATAACTTACCGGTAAGTTGTAGTCTTTTCACTGCATCATTTACATGTCGATTAAATATCGGCTTTTCACGCAATAACTTACCAGTAAGTTATTGGCTTTTCACGCAAGATTTACCGGTAAGTTATGGGCTTTTCACTCCATCACTTACATGATGGTTAAATATTGGCTTTTCACGCTATAACTTACCGGTAAGTTGTTGGCTTTTTGCTCTATCACTTACATATTGGGCGTAAAATTATTAGACATGCATGCGCACTTATTTGATTGAAGTTGCCATTGTTTTTCGATCAATTTTAACATGCAAATACTAGTCATAACTCTAGGGGTTATTTTTTGTTATTTCAATCCCTAGTATGGACATGAATATATTAAATTAACAAAGACAAAACTATTTTCGGTAGAAAGGTTAAAGAGCGTGCTGTTGAAATTGCCAAGGCCATAGATGACGAAGATGGGTTGATAGGAGCATTGAATGCCTTTCATAGGCACTTTCCTCACAGTAAATCTAAGGATAAACCCGAGTCATTGCCTGCTAGAAGTGGCTTATTTTCCATCAGTAGGTGTTTTGGCTATTCCCATTTCAATACACATCCCACGGCCTCTCCTCCACATTTGTAAGTTGGAGCAGTTTCTCTCTGTAATGAGGCTGACTTGAGTACCCTATAACAGTAAGAAAAGAAAAGAATACCCACAGATTCTCTTGTAATGACTGCAAAAAGATTCAGTCTCTAAGCCCCAAGTTGTTAGTGTGTCAACTAGCTGAAAATGCAGTTTTGTTTTAGTACACAAAATTGTATTTACAGGCTCCTTTTGCCCTACCATCCCCAACCAACAAACCACCAGTGATAGTGACATGTACATTTATCTTCAAGTTCTCAATCTTGTTGTTGCTATAATAATAATTGTAATAGACGAAGAATTTGCTAAACAGTTCTGTCTTAGTTTGCTAGACCACAGTTTGTCATAAAACTGCGCCACAAAAAAAAAACAAAAAAAAAAAAAAAACAACTAAGGCAGCAAAAAAAAACAATGACTAAGGGCGTTTGACTAAAACAACCAAAGTCATTCGAAGGTTGGAAAAAATTAAAAGGAGACAAGTCATTTTTCTCCTTGCGTAGAGCTCATCGATACGAGTTGATAGACATGTAGTGGGCTCAAATCGCAGTTTTAACGAAGAAGTTACGGTCAGCGGAAGCACAGTAGCACAATTGTAAATATTTCATGGTCAGAATTTTAAAACCCAGGTCAGCTTCTTTTTCTCTCTCTTTCTCCTACCACGACTCTCTCTCTCTCCCCGTCGCACAACAACATTTTCCGACGCTGAATCCGGCTTCGTCCGGCCACCGTTTTCGACGAAACGACTTGCAAACTTTTCCTCTCCTCCTCTACTTGACCCACCCAATTTAAAAAACCCGGGTCTCACCCAGGTGCAACCGCGAGATAAAATATATTTTTGGACTCTAATTTGGTCATTGGGATCGAATCCTATTTATTAGATTTGTTAAGTTCGGTTTTGAATTTGTCGGTAGCCTGAAGGGATGTGGTTATAAAGTGTTTGTGATTGTGTCGGGGCTGAAACCTATTTTAGATTGATGAATGATTGTGGATTGAGTCCTTACAACTACTTACGACTATGCCTGGAGGGTAGACTGTGCATATTGAAGTGTGGAAATTTTAAACTGTGTTTTTGACAGGTTGAAAATTTTGTTAAGTCCCTTTTTCAAGGGAGACTCTGCCGAAATTTTGGTAGAAGTCTCGGCCCTCGTTTCCTTTGTTTTAGGGGAAGAGGAAATTTGAAATCAGTAAGTGGGCCCGGTATCGGTTGGATGTCGAAAATACCACAGGATCCGTCACGGATTCCGAGGAATTCTGGGCGAGTCCTGTCATTTTATTTGTATTGTTATAGCTTGGTTTTTTCAAGCTTTATCTTTTAATTATTATTTTAAGTTTGAAATCCTAATTGGGATGCATACGCCAGAGTTTCTTCGATACTGCGTGCTCGTTAGTGGAGGCGCACCAGATTGTCTTAATTTTGATGTTTGGTAAAGTATTGGCTTTTCACTCGATAACTTACCGGTAAGTTGTAGTCTTTTCACTGCATCATTTACATGTCGATTAAATATCGGCTTTTCACGCAATAACTTACCGGTAAGTTATAGGCTTTTCGCTCAATCATTTACCTGACGATTAAATATTGGCTTTTCACGCAATAACTTACCGGTAAGTTATGGGCTTTTCACTCCATCACTTACATGATGGTTAAATATTGGCTTTTCACCCTATAACTTACCGGTAAGTTATTGGCTTTTTGCTCTATCACTTACATATTGGGCGTAAAATTATTACACATGCATGCGCACTTATTTTATTGAAGTTGCCATTGTTTTTCGATCAATTTTAACATGCAAATACTAGTCATAACTCTAGGGGTTATTTTTTGTTATTTCAATCCCTAGTATGGACATGAATATATTAAATTAACAAAGACAAAACTATTTTCGGTAGAAAGGTTAAAGAGCGTGCTGTTGAAATTGCCAAGGGCATAGATGACGAAGATGGGTTGATAGGAGCATTGAATGCCTTTCATAGGCACTTTCCTCACAGTAAATCTGAGGATAAACCCGAGTCATTGCCTGCTAGAAGTGGCTTATTTTCCATCTGTAGGTGTTTTGGCTATTCCCATTTCAATACACATCCCACGGCCTCTCCTCCACATTTGTAAGTTGGAGCAGTTTCTCTCTGTAATGAGGCTGACTTGAGTACCCTATAACAGTAAGAAAAGAAAAGAATACCCACAAATTCTCTTGTAATGACTGCAAAAAGATTCAGTCTCTAAGCCCCAAGTTGTTAGTGTGTCAACTAGCTGAAAATGCAGTTTTGTTTTAGTACACAAAATTGTATTTACAGGCTCCTTTTGCTCTACCATCCCCAACCAACAAACCACCAGTGATAGTGACATGTACATTTATCTTCAAGTTCTCAATCTTGTTGTTGCTATAACAATAATTGTAATAGACGAAGAATTTGCTAAACAGTTCTGTCTTAGTTTGCTAGACCACAGTTTGTCATAAAACTGTGCCAAAACAAAAAAAAAAAGACAAATATAATAACAGAACAACTAAGGCAGCTTTGACGGGAAAAAAAAACAATGACTAAGGGCGTTTGACTAAAACAACCAAAGTCATTCAAAGGTTGGAAAAAATTAAAAGGAGACAAGTCATTTTGTTCCTTGCGTAGAGCTCATCGATACGAGTTCGTAGACACGTAGTGGGCTCAAATCGCAGTTTTAAAGAAGAAGTTACGGTCAGCGAAAGCACAGTAGCACAATTGTAAATATTTCAAGGTCAGAATTTTAAAACCCAGGCAGCTTCTTTTTCTCTCTCTTTCTCCTACCACGACTCTCTCTCTCTCTCTCTCTCTCTCTCTCTCTCTCTCTCTCTCCCCGTCGCACAACAACATTTTCCGACGCTAAATCCGGCTTCGTCCGACCACCGTTTTCGACGAAACGACTTGCAAACTTTTCCTCTCCTCCTCTACTTGACCCACCCAATTTAAAAAACCCGGGTCTCACCCAGGTGCAACCGCGAGATAAAATATATTTTTGGACTCTAATTTGGTCATTGGGATCGAATCCTATTTATTAGATTTGTTAAGTTCGGTTTTGAATTTGTCGGTAGCCTGAAGGGATGTGGTTATAATGTGTTTGTGATTGTGTCGGGGCTGAAACCTATTTTAGATTGATGAATGATTGTGGATTGAGTCCTTACAACTACTTATGACTATGCCTGGAGGGTAGACTGTGCATGCTGAAGTGTGGAAATTTTAAACTGTGTTTTTGACAGGTTGAAAAATTTGGTTAAGTCCCTTTTTCAAGGGAGACTCTGCCGAAATTTTGGTAGAAGTCTTGGCCCTCTTTTCCTTTGTTTTAGGGGAAGAGGACATTTGAAATCAGTAAGTGGGCCCGGTATCGGTTGGATGTCGAAAATACCACAGGATCCGTCACGGATTCCGAGGAATTCGGGGCGAGTCCTGTCATTTTATTTGTATTGTTATAGCTTGGTTTTTTCAAGCTTTATCTTTTAATTATTATTTTAAGTTTGAAATCCTAATTGGGATGCATACGCCAGAGTTTCTTCGATACTGCGTGCTCGTTAGTGGAGGCGCACCAGATTGTCTTAATTTTGATGTTTGGTAAAGTATTGGCTTTTCACTCGATAACTTACCGGTAAGTTGTAGTCTTTTCACTGCATCATTTACATGTCGATTAAATATCGGCTTTTCACGCAATAACTTACCGGTAAGTTATAGGCTTTTCGCTCAATCATTTACCTGACGATTAAATATTGGCTTTTCACGCAATAACTTACCGGTAAGTTATGGGCTTTTCACTCCATCACTTACATGATGGTTAAATATTGGCTTTTCACCCTATAACTTACCGGTAAGTTATTGGCTTTTTGCTCTATCACTTACATATTGGGCATAAAATTATTACACATGCATGCGCACTTATTTGATTGAAGTTGCCATTGTTTTTCGATCAATTTTAACATGCAAATACTAGTCATAACTCTAGGGGTTATTTTTTGTTATTTCAATCCCTAGTATGGACATGAATATATTAAATTAACAAAGACAAAACTATTTTCGGTAGAAAGGTTAAAGAGCGTGCTGTTGAAATTGCCAAGGCCATAGATGACAAAGATGGGTTGATAGGAGCATTGAATGCCTTTCATAGGCACTTTCCTCACAGTAAATCTGAGGATAAACCCGAGTCATTGCCTGCTAGAAGTGGCTTATTTTCCATCAGTAGGTGTTTTGGCTATTCCCATTTCAATACACATCCCACGGCCTCTCCTCCACATTTGTAAGTTTGAGCAGTTTCTCTCTGTAATGAGGCTGACTTGAGTACCCTATAACAGTAAGAAAAGAAAAGAATACCCACAGATTCTCTTGTAATGACTGCAAAAAGATTCAGTCTCTAAGCCCCAAGTTGTTAGTGTGTCAACTAGCTGAAAATGCAGTTTTGTTTTAGTACACAAAATTGTATTTACAGGCTCCTTTTGCTCTACCATCCCCAACCAACAAACCACCAGTGATAGTGACATGTACATTTATCTTCAAGTTCTCAATCTTGTTGTTGCTATAACAATAATTGTAATAGACGAAGAATTTGCTAAACAGTTCTGTCTTAGTTTGCTAGACCACAGTTTGTCATAAAACTGTGCCACAAAAAAAAGACAAAAAAAATAAAAGAACAACTAAGGCAGCTTTGACAAAAAAAAACAATGACTAAGGGCGTTTGACTAAAACAACCAAAGTCATTCAAAGGTTGGAAAAAATTAAAAGGAGACAAGTCATTTTGTTCCTTGCGTAGAGCTCATCGATACGAGTTCATAGACACGTAGTGGGCCCAAATCGCAGTTTTAACGAAGAAGTTTAACAAAGCAACCTACACAACACTTAAAAGAATTAACACAAAGTTTCACCATCAACAAATCATAATTAAAATAAGATGCAAGAAAAATACCTTCCAATATATCTTAATCACACTAAGAAGGGAGAGTCTTATTCAAATTTGTCGTGGATGTTTTACTTCCCATTTCTACAAAATATAATAAAATAAATCAAACCAATTTGAGTTAGAACACATAAAAATAAGAAAATAATCGGATTCAAATATACTTATAGAAATGATAATATTACCCATTTCAATTGATTCATAGAACTTCATCTCCTTAATGCTTGGCACATATTGCAATGAAGATATATCTTCGGACCTTATCCAATTTTGAGAGCAAATCAAAGCCTCAACCATCCTAGGAGACAATGAGCTTCGAAACGAGTCAATCATTCTCCCACTTGTGCTAAAACAAGACTCCGAAGCTATTGTGGAAGTAGGGATTGCAAGCACATCCTTTGCAATTGATGCCAAAGTAGGATACTTGAGCCCATTTATTCTCCACCACTCTAGTATATCGAACTCCTCATCAATGGATTCAAGTGGATCCAAAAAGTACCTATCCACTTCATGTGTTATAACCACATTCTCACTCTTTTGTTGAATTTTTTTCCACTTTTCCATCATAGTTTTTCGCTTACGACCTCCAAAAACCAAAGAAGAGTTGGTTTCATTGTTAGTACTACCACCACTCTCATTGGTAGTACTAGTAGCACCCATATTATTACTACTAGGCTTATACACTTCATACATATTCATAAGAAGTTGTTTCGCCTCATTTGTCTTTTGAGCCACCAATCTATCACAAGTAGTATCATTTTCAAATATTTCTTCAAAGATGTGCTTCAAATTGCGAAGCTTGAATCGGGGGTCAATCACAACTCCTATCATCAAGAACGGGTTCACTTTATGAAGTTCACCCCAATATTTATCATATTTCTTCTTCATTGATGCTGCCATATCATTTAAAAGAGTATCCATGGTTGTCCGTTCTTCAATAGGAATTGTAACATCATATCTATACAACTCTCGAATCTCCCCATCTATGGCCAGCAAGTCATGGAAGGTTGAGTGTGATGTTGGATGCAAAGAAGCTGAAATTTTCAAAGTAACATCATAAAAAGTCTTCAAAAACATCACAAATGTCACGGCTTTTTCCCAATCTTCATCACTAGGTGGACCCACCCTCTTATTAGTCTTAGACTTTCCCTTCCCTTTCCCACTTCCTTCAATGCCTTCAATTCTCTCATCATCTCCTTCATCTTCCTTGAAGTACATTAAGTAGGAAGAATCAGGATCATCCCCCATTCTATCAAAAGCTTTTCGAAATTTCAATGCCGCATCAAGCATCAAATAAGTAGAGTTCTACCTAGTGGGCACATCCATCACCACCAACCCCTTGCACTCTATTTTTTCCGTCTCAACACACATTTTGAAGTAACTCAACCGAGAAGGTGAGGACCTCACAAACTTGACCGCATTACGGATTGCCACAATTGAGCTTTCTAATCTCTTCAAACCCTTCTTAACTATCAAGTTGATTATATGAGCACTACACCTCATATGCATGTGAACTCCTCCTAACACACTATTCGAATCTTTCCACCCATTTATTTTCTTCCTCACATATTCAATTGTCTTAGTATTGGCAGCTGCATTATCTGCAATAATTGTGAGTATCTTCTCATGTCCCCAATCAATCAAACAATTTTCAAGCAATTTCTCAATGCTCTCCCACTTATGACTATCAATTACACAAAAATTTAGGATCCTTTTGTGCATTTTATAGTTGGAATCCACAAAGTGGGCAATCATGTAATTCACATTTTGAACCGATGTCCAAGTATCGGTTGTAAGGCATATTCTATGTGAACGAAGGTCAACTTTCAACTTCTCCTTCATTTTTGTGTACATTTCTAGAAATCTTCTTCCAAGAGTTCTACGAGAGGGTGGATTAAATTGTGGGCATGCAACACTACAAAATTCCCTAAACCCTTCACCCTCCACAAAGCTAAAAGATAGCTCATATCGAACCACCATCCTAATACAAGCATCCAAACAATCATCTTTGTTAAACTTCCTAGAAACAAGAGCATTACCCTTGGATGCATCAAATGCGAGCGTCCGTGTGTTCTTATCCTTGTGCCTATAAGGATATTGCAAGCATTGTTTGTTTAGATGCTTCCACATGTTGCTAGTCCCATTTTTCTTGGTATCACTAGCATAAGTAGCACTACAATACTTGCACTTAGCCCTTTTTTGAACTTCTTTTCTTTTAGTCTCATCTACCCCTTTCAAATCCAATACCAAATCATACTTTTCAAAGTGTTCCCACACATCACTCTCCTTCTTACAAGGTTTCCTTTTCCCGGTACTAGGTTCTAATGGTGATGGTGTTGGATTTTGTGATGTTGTTGTAGGAGGTACAACAGCATCACTACAAGGTAGAGAATCATCATTCCCATGCATTTGAGCCTCATTAGAAGCAGGTTCCTATTCATAAACAGATTAAAATCATATTTAAACACAGCCAAACAAAGTTTAACTACCCATAAACATATTAAAACATATATCCTATTAAAAAAAACACATTTAAACTATCAAAACAGATTTAAACTATGCATACAACTCCCTAAACATATATCCTATCCAAAAATCTGATTTAAACACAGTTAAAACAGATTTTTCCTTTTCAAAGATGCAAGAAACAGAGTCAAAACAGATTTAAACAAATTTCAATCACATACAGATTACAAATTACATATTTAAACACAATACAAACAAATTTTTCCTATCCAAAGATGCAAGAAACATATTTAAACAGATTACAAATTACAGAATACTTCCAACATATCTTACAAAAACATACTACAAAAACATATTACGAAAACAGATTATAAAAACATATTACAAAAACAGATTTAAACATATTACAAAAACAGATTATAAAAACATATTACAAAAACAGATTTAAACATATTACAAAAACAGATTTAAACATATTACAAACACAAAATTAAAACAGATTACAAAAACAGATTTACACATATTACAAAAATAGATTTAAATAGATTAGCAGCAGCAACGAATATTTACCTCCATTTAAGCAAAATTTTCCAAACTTTCAAAGTTCAGCAGCAGCAGCGACGCTAAGCAACTATGAATGAAATCAAAAAAATGGTTAGGTTACAAACAAGCTTCATTCCTTTCATAAATTCAAACCAAATACCCTTAAATACCCATTGCTCTAAAAAAAGTCCTAAAATTAAAACCAAAATTTGAACTGCATGCCTTAATCTTTAATATGTAACTAACCATAATTCGTTCAAAAAAATTGAAGTATCATGCATGAACAATGTCAGATTGCAAATAAATCATCACTCTTACATCTATTCTTTAATAAAAACAGACCTAGCATGCAGCACAACCTATTTAACAAAAAGAAACATAAACATAATTAACACAGCAGCATAACAACAGAATAGCAGCAGCAGAAACAGAACCTATAGTTTCACATAACCTAATTTCATAAAACAAAAATTAATTGGTAGCAGCCCTAATTAGAATAATTTAATAGAAGAACCTAAATGCTAGCAGCCCTAATTTGTATAATGCATGATACTTACAGTTCATAATTTCTTTGTCAATTTCAAATAATCATTACAACACAACATAACCTAATTGGTGGCAACCCTAATTCGACAACCCTAAAGGCTAAAACCTTAATAGAAAAAATATATCATCACATCAACCTCAACCACCAAATCGACAAGCCTAATTTAACAAAAAAAAAACATAAACATAATTTATAATAAACCCTAAATTCAAAGGAAGATGATGCTCTCACCTCTTTGACTGATATGAGAGAGAAACCCACAGAAGAAATTGCAAGAGAGGAATAGATGTTGTCGGCGATCAGAAACTGAGACTGAGAAACATAGAAAAATCGAGATAAGAAGAGAGAGCAAAGAGAGAGTTCGCAGAGCAAAGACGCGACGGGAAAAAAATCGAACAGATAAGAGAAGAGAAGCTGACCTGCGTACAGGGATGGAGGCGGCACGGTAGCTGATCGACTGAGAGTGAGAGGATCGACTAAGAGTGAGAGGATCGAACAAGAGACTGTCGAGAGAGAGAGGCGTCGCAGCCTCTTAGGTTAAAAACAAAATGAAAACTGAAGAGAGGAGAAGACTGAGAGAAAGAGAAGAGAGAAGGGAAAAATTAAAAAATTCATGAGGGATCTGCTACAAGTCTCACATGACTATTTTTTTTGGCTAATCATACGACGCCACGTGTAATAATTATATATATTTAAATATTACCTGTTCGGTTCAGGTTCTTCGATTCTGAAAAAATGAGACTCGAAGGCCGAACCGTTGACCTTCGGTTCGGTTCAGGTCCGTTGTTGACTTTTTCGGTTTGGTCAAAAAACACTCTTTTTCGGTTTGGTTTGGTTTGATTCGATCGGTTTGATCGATTTATCGGTTTTTATGCCCACCCCTAGATGTAAGCATGTTCCAATGCCACAATTAGCCTTTTTGTAGAAGTGTCTGTCAAGAACATTCTCAGCTCAACTCTAGAGGGGCTTCGACCCCTCAAGAGGTTCTAATCTAAACCCTATATTAGCACAATTATCAAGTTATTATGATCCTTAATTATCATTTTTATATCATTATCATCAACATCATTTGGTCCTAATCACAGTTAAAGCTTTTATTTTGTTTTTATATGTAAAATTTAGGTTGGATTGGGCCACCAACTTCTGCTCCACAGGTGCCTCCATCCATGCACAAGTGATCTTGAATATACTTTAGGCAGACAAAGGCCTGTTATTTTTTTTTTTTTTTTTTTTTTTTTTTTTTTTTTTAATTATTCAGTTTCAGGAATAAATGGTTAATTAGTATTCTTTATGTTTGAAGATTAATAATGTTGACAAGTGTGTGCTTAAGAGACGGTGTCTTCCTATCACACCCCGGACTTGGGGTACGGTGGAAAAAAAAACCCCACACCCTGTGCATGAGAAAATTAAAAAAGGCCAAAAAAAGGTTTAAAATAAACTTCTCTTATAAAAATAGCTCCAAAATCATACAAGAGTACAATAAATAAATAAAGTTCTATCACTCTTATCTAATTCAACCTCGGCTCACCTATCACCCATCTTTTGGGTTTTACAACTACAAGGTCTATAAAGAGGGGAGCAAAACCACATCTCAGTAGGGACATAAATCTTTTCCATAGTAAATTGATATAACTAAATTAAGTGACATGCAATCACATAACAAATAAAAGATAATAATACATTAATGAGCTTCAATTCTACCCCACCCGTTAATCTATATAATAGGGCAAGTAAATCTGCATGTCCCATACCATGGATTTTACCATTGTAATTATGAATGTCCTATTATATAAACTAACACCTCATCTCAATCATCCCATAATTCCCCTTTTGCTAGTCTTCTTGTCTAAGCCATTGATCTCCAAGCCCACCAAATCACCCAATCGACAATTATACTGCCAATATCCGAATCTACTATGCACATGGGCTCGCCTAAACTTGGTCCCTACAATGATCAGACTCAACTACACAAAAGATCCTTCCCATTACCCTATTTTCCATAATTTCTTTATTAACCCCAAAAATTCCAACCATCATCGATAACATATGAACATGTCAATATTAATAAAATAATATAATGATAATTAACAAGATGTAAACACCCAATATCAAAAACATTAATCAAATTATAATATTAAGCATAATCTAGTTCTCATGAAATTTAATTAAATCAATTTCTATAAAGGCTACTCAAGAAACTGTCTACCTCGATTCCAAAACATAACTCCAAATTAGTAAAACACAAGCAAAGTTCTCTGTTTCCTCCAATATCATATTTCCTTGCATCTCTCTTTCACTTTGTCTTTCCCATATTTCTTTTCTGCTCTCTCTCTCTCTCTCTGAAAGAACTATCACCTTGTAGTATTGAACAAATAGTGAAGTAGGCTCCTATTTATAGTACAAATAAGATTCGGTTAAAGATGAGATAGAAAGAGAATGTCGGGATATCAAGTAGGTTGCGTCAATTGGCATGTGAATATATAAATGTGAATTCAAGATATAAAGATGACAACTCACTAGGTGATAGTGCTTTTAGGTTGACTGTAGTAAAGTGACGTGTTCAACAACAGTATGAATATCAAAGTTGATCACTACAACTCTTAAACTTAGCATTTAGTTTTGCATGCAGGAGTTGATGAGAGAAAGACATATCTAAACAAACAAGTAAGTATTATTATAAAATGCAGGGCTTCACACTTCCATCATTATTTTTTAGTTTTTGGATCGAGCTTTTGTATACTTCCAATCCCATGTGGATCGAGCTTTTGCTTTTGTACACCTCGACCATATAAATATTTAACAATTATTACCCTGAAATTTGAACTCGTAGAAGAAAAAGTAACAATGTCCTGCTCTACCAAGGGAAGAAGCATATGCCTATAATAGCGCGTTCCAGCTGTAGGTGGGTTTAGTCTTGTCTAGGGTCTTACTCAGTATATATTGATTCTTTGTAAGTGGATATAAACCATTTGTATTGATTCTTTGTAAGTGTATATAAACCATTTGTATAGATTTTTTTTAGTCAAGCAAAGCACTTGTACATTCTTTGTTAGCAACTCTCTCTTTCCCTCTTACATTTCCTTCAAAAGAAAACCATGGACGTTGATTATGGTCATCGCCCTCAGCAGTGGTCACGTGGTCTTTGTAACTGTGGAGAAGATATTTGTACATGTAAGATATAAATTCTCTCTCCGGCCAAAATTCACTTTGTCTATTATAGTTACCTTACCTGACAAGTTAAATTTATACCAATTAGTGAAATTGATCTTGTGGTGTAGGTTGCATCACATGGTGTTTCCCGTGCATCACCTTCGGCCGAAACGCAGAAATTGTCGACGAAGGACGAAATTGTAAGTGTCACAAGACCAAAAAGATTTCCCAAATCTATAAACGTGGCAAATTTATTATTTTTCCCTTAAAGTGGTTGTATATATAACTGGTCTCTCACATTTAGTTCTGTATAGTAATAATCACGTGATCACTTAGTGTGAGAGAACAGTTGCGATACATAGACTGTTGTATATGGAAAAGTTAATTTCTCCTCGCACCGACTGCGCTTGACTTTAATTATTAAGATGATTAGGTCAATGGTGTGTTACTAACAGTTGGATTTTGTAATTTTAGCTTGCCTTTCCCATTGCATAGTGTACGGGTTGTTGTGGACGATTCACTGCCAGTGGATCTACTCATGCACGTATAGACAGAGATTGCGCGAAAAATTTGGTCTGCCGGAGGAGCCTTGCGGTGATTGTTGTGTTCATTTCTTCTGTGGACCGTTTGCCCTCTGCCAAGAACATGCTGAGCTCAAATCTAGAGGCTTCGACCCCTCCAAAGGTTTTAAACTAATCCTACACCACACATATATGTCGTCATCGTATAGTTATGATCTTAAACTTATCATTATTTACATCATTCGGCGGTACATCAATTTTATTTTGTATTTGTTTTTATGATGTAGGTTGGATTGGGCCACCAACTGCTGCTCCACAGGTGCCTCCTTCCATGACCAAATGATCGCCAATATACTTGGCAGACAATTAATGTCGTGTTTGTCTTCTCCTTGTCTTTTTTGTTTTTGTTTGATGGAATTTGCTTTGTGTTGTATGAATATATATTGATGTTGATAAAGTGCGTGTATAAGCGAGGATGTTCCAGATCCAACGTATTGTAATGAATGTGACGTCGTTTGTTTTGTGTTCGGATACATTTCACATCAACTGGATTAAGGAGTTAAAAAAACAAGCTTTAACTTCAAATCTTACCAAGGATGTTCACTCCAATAAAAGCACTCGAAATTTGAGTAGGTATTGTCACTCATAAATATGTGAGAGGAATCAAAGTAATAAGATGTACTCACATAATCAAAATGAAGGCACAAGACTTGAAAGATCTCATGGAAAGATATCGCATACTTGAAAACATTTAAATTATCCGACCATAGTCCTTCCACACCTATTCTCCACATGAGGAACCACACTTCTCCTTTGATCAAATAAGACTTTCACTAAAATTGTAGTGGGGCTTAAGGTGATAGGTGAAACAAGAAAAATGTATGGAAAACAACAAGGTCTAGAGAACCAGTAATAAAGCATCCTTTGATAATGAGAGATTGTTGAACTTTGTATCATGCAAGAGTGGACTCGAAATTTTTAGCTTTTCTTGTTCTCGTCATTTTTCTCTTCTTTACTTTTCTTGAATTGGCCAATTCTTTTGATGAGTTACCATGCCCCAAACTTATGCTTTTGAAACCCTTAGGATATACACTTTCTTTCTTTTTCTTTTCTTTTGTAAGCTCTTTGAAGTCCTTGCATTCTTGAGAATCTCTTTAAAATATAATATGGTACAGGTGATGTATATACTGAAGGGTTATTATGGTACAGGTGATGTAGTTTAAACAAAGAAATAGGCTCAATTTAGAAGGCTCAAAGGATTAATTAAGGATAATTAATGAACGGGTTGGCTAGAAAGACTAAAACAAAAGAAACAAGGTCTATATCATTTCCTCGAATCCACGTGGTTTATGAAATATGCCTCAAATAGATAGTGAAAATAGTTCTAGCAAACAATTTAAATATCCTCAAGTACTTGACCAAAAGAAGAAATAATGAGATCACAACGACTTGTAGACAAGAAAATTAAAGAATAATATAACACTCAAGAAAGAAAGGCATAGGCTCAACAAAATCTCACATGATGAGGTTATATAAGTTTACACTAGCTCTTATTTACCAATTTAAATCATGTTAAATTCCCAATCAAAAATCATATTACATGGCATGTATAGAGTTTTGCCAAGATTATAAGATTATGGCTAACACAAAGATAATGTAAAGAATTATTATCATGCTCACATTTTCTTGAAAGTTAATTGAAAATAAAAACCAAATCTCATCATAGAATTGGGAAGTAGCTACCAAAAATAAATAATAAAAAACTCAAACTAAAAAGAAAATATTTTTTAGTTTTCTTGAATTTTTCTATTTTTTACTTTTTATTTTAAATAAAGAAAAAATGGACAAAACGAAACCAACAAAATAAAAGAAAAGAAAATTAAATGCATAAAAACACAAACTAGTTAAATAAAAGCAAAAGTTGAAAAAGAAACTCAACAACTAACAACGCAACGCACCATGGTCCATGCAAAAGTGTTAATCGCGACTCTTTTGCAAAAAGTGGGCGGGTACAGTGATTCACTTTTCTTCTCTTTTTTAAAATGCAGTTTTTGACTCAGGTACGAAGAATTTGAGGTATTTCAAAAACTACTTGGCAAAATTTGACGTTCTTTATACGGTTGAATTTAGAACGAAAAAGCGAAGACTGTTTCGCAGGCCAAAATAAAAAAGGGGAAAACAGCAGATGGTGCAGCCACAATGAAATGAAGACAGCAGATGTTGATTAATTAAATATTATTAATCAAGCCAACCATGTATAGCCCTCACTACCAAGCCCATCAGCCCACCAATTTAATTGGTGTCAAAGTATCATGCTTATAAAGCATGTAAACCATTGTTTCCTCTGATGTGGGATAATTTTGCTTTCGAACTTCCGACACTCTTACTACGCAATAATCCCTCCAAAATATAATTTGGAATGCAGTTGAACTTTTTGCTTTCAAAACTGATAGTTGTACTAACACAAAAACAGAAGTCTAAATGACAATAAAAAGAACACTATCAACCAAACAATCACAGCTAAACCAAGCAAAATCCATTACAAAGTATTTCAATTACTGAAAAGCACAACAAAAAGTAAATTCCTACTTCCTAAATCCTAGTAGGTACAATAAAACCTGATAAAAAGACTGCTTCACCCTGCCAGCCTTCTCTAAGGCAAGAAAACTGTGTACACTACAGCTAGGTGCTTGGATCATCTTTTCACAGAGAATCGCACAAATTGTGGCATTTCTTTCCTGTCTTGGTAAGTTCAGTTTCACACATGCGCTCGCTCTGCTGCAGAGCTTCGGCATACTTTATCAATGTCAAGTCCCAGCTGCAGCTACCATAACACAAATTCAGCACTTTTGCCATGCTTGAACCTTGGCATTTTTACTAAAAGAACAAGAGATAACTTGTTAACATGACCAACTACGAAGAAAATCCAATTGCTGATGGACTCTGGCTTTCTAAATTGTTGTTAACATGAAAAAAATAATAAACAAGAAGGGAAAAGAAAAATAAATAAATGAAGGAACAGGTAATATAGTGATGTAAAATGAAGAAGAACGAGAATTAATCTACAGTTTGAAATTAAGCAATTACCTATTCGTTGCATCAGTACGCTTCTCCAATTAGAAGGGAAGGTACATGTTGAATTTTACAGAAATCCTCTCCATCTTCCTGAATCCTTCTGTGGAGTTCTTTAGGCATCCCTGTAATGGTTAATTCCCTGAGATTAGTAAGATATCTTAGCTCATCTGGAAGTGTCGTCAATCCCTTGCAATATTCAATGCAATCGACAGAGACTAGGTATGGCTCCTTCCTCTACCCTCCACTCTGTTATTTCGCGCATGCCATAAACAAAATGAAATTCAAGAGAAGGAAAGCCTCCTTTGGAGAAAACCAGTATCTTTGTGTTCTCCTCGAAAGCTTCATTTATGAGGCGCAGAGTTGTCAGGTTTGGTATCTTCTCTAGTATTCCCATTTGGTCCTCCTTGAGACCATACCTACGCAGTTGTAATTTGGCGAGGTTTGGATAGTTGTGGAGCTCTTTCGGTAATTCTGCGGTTGGCCCAAACAGCTTCAATTTGTATATATGCCAACAACTTGATACTATTTGCCCACTCTTCCTTTCAGCATTCTTTTCATTCATAGTAACTTGTATTTATATCATTTTTCCTAATTTTCTTGGTCAATATATGAATATCTTCAGTCTCCATCGCCCCAATCCCGAATGGTCTCTTGGCCTTTTCAGTTGTGCTGAGAAATGATATGTCTAATTATAATTTCTTGCTAAAAACTAAAAATAACAATGGAACTGAAAAGGTTTTAGATGTATCCACTAATTTGTCACAGAAGTAGATATAAGAATATCCTACTAGACCATTATGTAAAAAATCACATACAAGCAAACAAAAAAAGCCGAAGGCCTCTGCTTTTACAGCTTCATGATTACAATCAAATTTGCATCAACACATTCCCTCCAAAATACAGGGGAAACACTTTGACCCAAAACAAACAAGGGAAACTCTTTGCTGCAGTATATTTCTTGTTTTCAAAATTTATAATTGCATTAACTCAAAGAAACAACTCTAAATTGCCACAAAAAGAGTGCTGTATATATACACCAAACAATCGAATCATTCCAGGCAAACATTGACCCAAGAAATTTCAATTTTCGCCAAACATTGAAATACGCCATAAAACGAAGATTTCCATTTTAACTCCAAGTAACCATCAGATCAACTCAGCTGATTCCATTTCACATCACACAATTCAACCTGTCAACCTTTTCTTTCTTCTCCTGAACAATTTGCTTGATCATCAGCTTGATCTGCAAATATATATTTTCCCCATGTCATGCAAGTCCCAGCTGCTAGTACAGTAGGATAATGCAAACTCAGTACTCATTCCATTTAGAAGATCAACACCAGCACACAGAGCATCTACAGCCCTGGATCATTTCATTCAACGTATTAAAGCCCATATATGTAACATTGACAAAATGCTAAACAAAAAACAACAGAATTAACCTTTCCATGGAAGATGCGGTGGGTAGGCCATGGGGTTACCCAAATACAAGGGAAGTCACATGTTGAATTTTATGGAAATCCGCTCCTCCCGCCTTAAGCTTACTCTGGAATGTACTTGACATCCCTTCAATGCTTAATTCCCTGAGGGTAGTAAGATATCTCAGCCCATCTACAATTGTCATCAATCCGTTGCAATATTTAATGCTCAGTCGGCGGAGACTAGGCATGGCTCCGTCCTCCACCCTCCACTCTTTTACTTCAGACATGTGAAAAAGTGAAAGAAATTGAAGATGAGGAAAGCCTCCTCTGGAAAAAACCAATATCTTTGCATCCTCGTTGAAAGTGTTTTGTTCCAGCCTCAGAGTTGTTAGGTTTGGCAGCTTCTCTATAATTCCCATTTGGTCGTCCTTGAGAAAGAAGCGACGCAGTGTTAACTTGGTGAGGTTGGGAAAGCAATGGAGCTCTCTCGGTAATTCTGCAGTCGGCCCTTCCAGCTTCAGTTTGTATATATGACGACAACTTGATACTATTTGCGTAACTTGCTCTGTAGAACCAGTGACTGCCAAATCTGTGTACACAAATAGAGACCGTATATGGTTAAGCGTGCTGCCAGTAGATTTCAAGATTTCCTCCAGATTTTCTAAGGGGCTTGACAGCGTTATACTCAGTTTTCTAAGATTTGTTAGACCAGTAAGATCATTCAAATCACAATTGGAGCTTGAAACAGGATATAAAGTCTGTAAATTGTGAAGCGTAGAAATTTTCAGTTTACCGCTTAGTCGAAGCCGGTGAAAAAAGGGCAAATATAAATGTCTTACGTGTTTCATCTTCCATATGACATTTGGGATGAACAGCCAACTATCTTCAACTCGAAGATCTAGAGTTTGCAAGCATATCAAGTTACCCAGAGATGCAGGAATCCGTTTTATATTACTTCCCCTCAGGCTTAAAAACCTTAAGTGGACCATATTTCCAATTTCACTTGGCAACTCTGCTTCTCTGTTCATACCTTCAACCTTCAAAACTCTAAGTAATTTGAAATCCTTGAACATGGTAAGTATCAATCTTTTACATTGTCTCCTCCATTCTTTTAAGCCAAAGTATAATAGAGATCTAAGGTGGTCATCTTTCTCATATCTTGATGGAACCAACGTATCAGCATTCTCATTCAAGTAGATGGCAAGTCTTCGAACTTTCCCCAATGGTGCTGCCTTGGTTACCATAGAAGAAGAAAAAGGACTGATTGCCTCATTTCTCTGCGAAGAATTCACAACTCGGAGAAAGTTCTCCTCTTCCGCCTTTGACAAGCACAAGTCTCTTACAAGATCATGAATTCGACAAGTTTTAATCGTACCAATTGAACCCGTTTCTCCAACTTGAACCACACACCTTATCATCAACTCACTTAAGCAATGGTACGCTATATCCTCCATTTCTTCCCCTAAACCTTGTCCTTGTGTCAGTGAGACGAGACCTTCTGCCATCCATAATTGGGTCAATCTTTTCACCGGAATCTCAAAATCTTCAGGAAAATGGCCTAAATACAATAGGCATGGTTTTAAGTGATAAGGTAAGTCATCATAACTCAATGCCAATACCCATGAAGCACCTGCATATTCTTCTTCGGGACCTATGCCTCTCCTTATGTATACATAAACATTTGCATGCACTGTAATCCACTCATTAACAGTGTTTTTTCTTGCTAGAACTCCGGCAAGCACAGTGATGGCTAATGGCAAACCTGCACAATGTCGAAGCATCTCCATTCCAAGTTCTTTCATCTTTATGTAAACTCCAGAATCTGAAAAGGTAATGAAAACCCAAATTAATACTTCTAATAGCAGTAGTGGTATAAAAGAAAGACACAATGTCCTATGTATTGTAGCTATTATATGTATTGCATATGATAAGTCACTATCTTGGTAGCTAACAAAATGTTAAACAGGGCAGTTCTCCTCCCTTCTTTATTGTGCCGTCAGTGTTTTTGTTTTGTATTCAATAACACTGGGAGCTTCAATTTTCATTCACGATTGGTCCAAAATATATAAGTTCAATTAAATCGACTATTTCAATTACTGGAATCTTGATTCCTTTCAACCAAAAGAAAAAAATTCTGTACTCAAAAACATGAATATAGAGATAAGAATATATCGATATTCCTAAAAATTATTTTGTTATAAAAGAATATCTGTGCATCGCGAATGACAGTACTGCGAATTCCACAAGGTAGTTTCTATGAGGCTCTATCAATATAAATAAAGAAATTGAGATAAAAGAGTGATAAAGTACCTTTATCAACCCTTCCAGACAATGCTATCTTCTCAAATAGTTCCCAACTTTTGATTTCATTTAGTGCCTGGGGTTGATGAAGAAAACCATTTCTATCAGCATGCAAAGCCACTGCTTCATTGCGTGTTGTAAGTAAAATTCTGCTTTGTGTTTCCTCACATGTTAATGGAAATGCAGCTTTCAAAGAGTTAAATGTCTCAATGCTCCAAATGTCATCAAGTATAACCAAGCATCTCTTTCCCTGCTGGACGCGAAAAAGCTTCTTGGCTATTTCATAGTCCCTCATTTTTGCAATTTCTTCTCTTTGTTCCTTGGTGGCAGAAATGAGTTTAATTAAAATGCCTTCCCAAACATCTCTTACTTGATACTGTTGAGATATACACACCCAAGCAAAACTATTGAAATGACACCTAACTTCTTTGTGATGATAAATCTGTTTTGCAAGTGTGGTTTTCCCTGCACCACCCATACCCCAAATAGAAACAACTCGGAGGCAACTTTCTTCCTTCACCAAATGTGTGACTATTTCCTTTACATTGTCTTCTATCCCAACAACATCACGTTCAATAACATGAGAATAAGTTCGCCTTAGTTGTTGTTGTCTCTCAAATGATTGCAAAGAAGATGCACCTCCAATCTCTCTTGTTTCCCTTACAATGTTATAGCTTTGCAAACTCATCCTCAAATTAGAAATTTTGGCAGTAATGTTCTCAATTTCTGCCCCAATCTTGCCAAGATCAACTCGTTCCTTGAAGATGCAGGCAAATCTTTTAAGAACATTCTTCATACCTGTTTTCTTCTTGGAAGCCACTTTCAAGCCATAAGTTTCAATAACATCTTCCAAATCATAGGCAGCATCTCTAATCTTGGCAACCCAAATCTGGACTCTTGCATCTTCTCCTTGTCTTGCATCTGCATCTTTCAAGAATCTCTGCATCAATTGTAGCTCAGTTTGTGAAACCTCAACTTGATGGCTGACTCCAGACAAGAACTTTGCTTCCTGAGTGGTGAAGTCTCCGACCCTTTGGAGCACAAAGGAAACAATTGCCTCAGCCATTCTCTACAACTTACTCTCTCTTCACCAAAAGAAAATCAACTCAACCGCCAGATCTAGTTTTTAGATTGATTGAATTTGATGAGAATATCTCCTTAGCAGTAGAGCAATTTCTTTCCGTGCATCTATGAAGTCCAGCAACTAATCAACTCATCCCAACAAAAAGTAGTCAACTTTGGCGTTTTCCACCTACCTCAATAATAACGTATATAAAACAACCAAAAAAGAGAAGTTTATTAATTTATGCTACATATTACATTATTTCAATTAAGTATACAATATAGTTAGTGAGTGCACTTAGACATGAGTTGGATTATACAAATTTTTAGACAACATTGAAAAAGTTAACTTAATTCATAACATGTATAAACAAAATAAAAAGTTTATTAAATTATTCTATATCTTATATTATTTTGATTAAGTCTAAAATGAGATTAAAGAGTGCATCAATTAAGTCTAAACAAAGGGTCTAGACGGGCCTAGGCGGGCCGAGAGTTTCAAATTATAAGTCCAATAAGCCCTACCCAATTTAAGAGCGGGTTAGGCCTAACGGCCCTAAAAAACTAGTCAAACCGGGCTTTGGCCCATCTCAAAGGCTACACACTTCGGCACATGGACTTAGGGCCAAATGATAATCTATGTGTGATGATACTCAAGCCAAACACATGGACAACAGATTATGACGTGGAAGCATGTAAGGCTTTAAGTCGAACACGTAAATAGTCTCCCTTAATACCATATTGGTTAGTGAGCATTTAACCCAAAATCAATTAAAAAATCAATTCTTCTTAGAAACCCTAAGGAACACTCTCTAAAATAAAACCCTTAGGAACTTAGCTCCAACCGCCAACTCCCTTTTGGGGTGGTGGCCTCCTTCCCCAACCCTCTCCTCTCCTACCTTTCCCTCCCCTCTTCTCTCCTCTCCTTCTCTACCCTTCCCTCCCCACCCCTTTCTCCCTTCCTCTCCTCCTAGCTTTCTTGTGGTTGTTTACCACTTTTTTGGCTAGATTTTCCGCTTGCCTGCATTGGTGATTTCGTTGGTGGTTTTGCTATGCTTGAAATCTTTGGTGAGTTTGGGTGTTCACAGTTTATTGAGTTGTAATAATTGCATCAACTCTTTGTGAGTTTGATGTTTGTTTGTAGTCCAACCTCTACTTGTAGTTTCTACTTGTGAGAGTTTAAAAGTTGTAGTTGTATTGGTAGTTTTAGGCATTGCGGTTCATGTCTCGCTTGTTCCGGCTTGCAGTTTTTATGCTGAAATTTCTTTGGCTTTATGAGACTATTAATGAAGATACACCTTATGTGTTTGATGTTGCCGGTGTGTTTCTATGTATCTGGATTAACCTTGCATCTTTGCTATGCTTTCATCTTTGCATTAACCCTTGGTGGGTATTTGTACTAACCCTTGTGGCTTATAAATACAATTATCATTTTTCTCTATAAAATAAAAATAAAAAACCAAAATCAATTTTCAATTTGGGGAGGGGGGAAACCTACGATCATTTAAATTATTAAAGTAAAACTTCCATCTCAGATGTGAGATAACACTTAAAACATTTACTACCTCTCACATGAAGGTAACTTCCGCCGTTAAAAAGGTAGCCTCTCTAACATTCCTACATTGCTTAAATTAGGAGGTACTTATACAAGTAATAATAAGGACAACAATGGAATTAAGTTGACTTATTAGATATAAGTCACACATAGCGACCAAGTCTTCTTTCGAATGCTAACAATGACATGGCCGGCTTCATTATATAGCAGGCCTGCTTTACTATGTAAACGGATCCAAAAATAATAATCAAATTCAAGAGCGATCTTCCCCAAGACATGAACTGTGGAGTATAAATGCCAAATTCTTAAGATCCATTCCCATCAGCCCTTAAGCATTATTTTCATTAACATTAAGTTGTATATATCTTCATCATTTTTCATCATTTTCTTGGTGAAAAATATGAATATTTTCAACCGCAACCGCCCGAAGCCCGAATGGTCTCTTGGCCTTTTCAGTTGTGGAAACGAGATCTCTACATGTAAAATTATATATAGCTCTCTGTCTCTCCCTTTATTTCTTGCTAAAATTTGGCACCTCTAATTCTAAGCTACTATTGAATTACAAGCACAACTTCAAACTATTTGGTGAATTAATTCATGTAACTGTGGTGTAGGTTGCATAACATACCTTCTCCCATGTGTTACCTTCGGCCGGATTGCAGAAGTTGTAGATGAAGGACGAAGTTGTAAGTATAAATAATTAGCCAAGTGCACAGATCAAAGGCTGAGGTGCATCTGTAATCCCCTGGGCTTATTGATATCAAGCATGACCTAAAATTTGGAAGCATTTCTTCATTAGAGTTAGACCATGGAATCCTCGGCCCATGTAACTTAATATTTAGTGACTTTTAATTTGTTGAATGTATAGTTGCAACCGGGATAGCATAAACAATGCTATTCCCGGCCAATAATGTTATGACATGTGGAAGTGTTATCACGCGTGTTACAACGTTATTGGCCGGGGATAGCTTCATAGAAGTCTTTCTCCAAGTGCAAAGGTAAAAATGCTCATAACCACTCGAGCTACAAGCTCTTTGCGAGTTGAACACACTTTTGCTGGTTACTACATTGTCAGATTATTAATTTGAACTATAATTTTGATAAAAGCAATCAACACATAAATTATACTTTTAATAACCTGCAAGTGAAGAGCTGAGTTTAATTGTTGCTTTACTGATTGGAGCTTTTGTATATGGTGGGCTTGGTTTGCGTTTAGCATGCTGTGCACAGGGTTGTGCATACTGCTGCTTGATGATGGTCCAATTCCACTGGATCTACTCATGCATCTACAGAGAGAAATTGCGTACGAAATTTGGCTTACCAGACAAACCTTGTTGTGATTGTGGTGTTCATTTCTTCTGTGACTCATGCGCCCTTTGCCAAGAGCATGCCGAGCTCAAAATTAGAGGCTTGGATCCATCCAAAGGTTCTAAATTTAATCCCACAATTATGATAAATAATTATGTGTTTATTATTAATTATGGTTCTCCTAATACACGCATCTTATTTTTGTGAATATTATTGTAGGTTGGACTGGGCCACCAAATGCTGCTCCAAAGGCTTTCTCCATGTTTAGATAGTTAATCTCTCCAGTATTTTCTTCCTGAGTGTATTGTGCATTTGCCTTCTTTCTTGGCATGGTTTTCTTTTTATTTCGTGAAAGAAATGTCATGAATAAATGGATGAATGGTGTAATTTATCTTTGGAGAATCTAGTTGGTGAAAGCGTGCCTAATAGCCAGTGGGGTTTGTTTAGCCATATCAGAAAGGGCAGTAAAAATTCAAAACAAATATATCTATATCAAATGTTTCAGAGGAATTTCTTCAATTGGTATGAAGTTCTTTATGCACCACTTTGTTATTACAACTTACAGGTAGTTTGTGAGGTGGGAAGCCCCCTTTTTTTCTCTTCTTCGTTTTTCTTCAGAGTCTTGTAGCTTTCCCAACGACTTCCTCAATTTTTGTCAAATAATTACTTTAATAAAAAGAAAGGTTTTGTGAAGCTTTTTCAATGACTACTTTTTACAATCTTGAAACAAAAAAGTTTCTTAGTGACTCGCTTTTAGAAATAAGAAAGCAATCCAAGAGAAGCTCAATTGCATTTTCCCATACAATTCCTTGCCTCCTTGGCACAAAGAAAAAATTGTTGCTAATCTGAAAAGGTCTTTTCTTAGACCATCTCCAATCGATATGTCAAAAGTGTCACATAGATATTTAACAACTAGAAATAACATTTCACATCACTCCAACCTATATGTCAAAGCTGATGTGGAATGATGGCTGGAGGTTGAGATGTTATTTTTGACATCCCAAAAGCAAAATGTCAAATGAATATTTTATTAGTTTTTAAAGACAACTAGCTGTTACTTCCATTTCTTTTTTTCTTTTTTTCTTTTTTCTTCTTCTTTGTCTTAAATGATTTGACTGTTACAATAATTATTTATTTGACATATCGGGTGGAGTGTAAAACTATGTAAATGTCAAAATGCCACATCAGCCATCAGCCATCAAATTTAAATTTGATGTTTGGTATTTGACATCTCCCTTGGAGATGCTCTTAGAGCATCTCTAACCAATGTGTCAAAAGTGTCACATAGACGTTTAACAGCTAAAAATAACATCTCACATCACTCAAAATGATGTGTCAAAGCTGAAGTGGAATGAAGGCTGGAGGTTGAAATGTTATTTTTGACATCCCAAAAGCAAGATGTCAAATGAATATTTTATTATTTTTTCTTTTCTTTTCTTTTTAATTAAAAATAAATCAACACTAAAATGTAATAAAATAATAATTTAATTTGACATATCGGGTGGAGTGTAAAGCCATGTAAGATGTCAAATTGCCACATCGACCATCAAATTTAAATTTGATGTTTGATATTTGACATATCCCTTGGAGATGCTCTTAGAAATATCCTTGTTGTTTAATAATTAAAGGGTATTTTAGGAATGATGGTGGATGGAAGATAAAATTGTGTTTTTTTCAAATTTACATGATGGGTTAAAAGATAAGATTGTGACAGCCCCATCAATTAAAAAGTGTCAATAAATCATAAAAGAAAAGAAAATGTTAAATTAATTTTAATGAGTAATGCTACACTTACCACATTATTATCTCATATTTCTATACTAGATGATGTGGTATGTCCATATCATATGACATATCAATTAAATGAATGAAGTGTATTTTAATAAATAAAATTAGAAAAACAAAAACTAGTATTTTACATGATGTGGTATGTACACATCAACCGCCACATCATGTGGTATAAAATTGTGGTATAAAAATGTGGTAAGACTAGTATTGTTCAATTTTAATTGATGTGGTTGTCCACCTCATTTGCCACATAAGGTGGTATGAGAATGTGGTATACAAATGTGATAAGAGTAACATTACTCATATTTGTTATTTATTTCTTAATTTAAAATCTATTACCAACTAACTCTCTCTTTCTTAGTGATACTTCTACTTCTCATTCCAATAGAAAGAAAAATATATATATCCAATTCATTTTATAGTTTTATTGCTCATTTGAATTAATTTTTTATTTTTGTGTCAATTAATTTCTAAATAATTACATATACAATTTTTATTGACATTTAATATGTCTCATTTACGTTCATTTAGATAGAATCTGATGGTTTCTATCTTGATTGAATTCTTATCCAATTCTAGAGCTTTAATAACTTATACCATATAGGTCATTTGGCTACGTTTGGTTCCTGGGAAATGAGGTTTGGGGGTGGGAAATCAATTGTTTTTCCATGTTTGGTAAGTCTAAACATAAGAAATGATTGCCTAGCACATGGAAAATATGGGAAAATGTAACTATCCTCCCCCCTTAGGTATCATTTTTTTTATTCCCATGGGAAACTTTGAGAAAATAGGCCAGCATTAAATGCATATTTTTCATGACCATTTGTCCCGATTAACAATTTAGAATTACAATATAGCAGTAAATGCATTCTTTTTTAATATTTAATTTCATATGGGTATAATTTAAAATTGGGTTTTTAATTCACAAGGTCCTCAAACTTATACCTGAATTTCATTTTGGTCTCTCAACTAAATTATTCATTCAAATTGTCCCCCAACTCTTTATTAATCATTGCATTGGTCTTACCATTACATTTTGTGTTAAATTTAGTCATGTGAGTAGCACATGCTATATTTGTGAGGGTAAAATAAGACTTTCAACAACTAAAAAACTAAAAAAATATGGTTAAAAATTAATACAAAATTGTCTTTATTTTTTAAATTAATTAAAAACTATAAAAGAATAAAACAACAACAAAAAGCAACCTAAAGAAAAAAACTAGCCCACCCAACCTCATCCCGGTCTCATCGTCCCCCACTCCAATCCCAACCCCCATCCCCTAGCCACATCCACCTTAACAGACCCCATAAGTAAACCTACCACCTCCTTCACACAAACCCACCTTATCCTTGTCTCTCTCTCTCTCTCTTCCGCCTCTCTCTCTCTCCCCCCCTTCAGCCTTCAGTTTCCTAAATAGAGAATTTCTAGTCACCATCTCCATCAAAACCGTCACACGAAAAACCACCATGGCCAGCCGACCCAACGAGATCAAAGAAATAGGGGGTTGCGGATGCTCTTTAATTTAATCCAATTAGCTTTCCACTTTGTGAACTTCATGGATTCCTTCAAAGCACAAGACTTTCTAGGTGCTTCTCTGGGCCCACCGTTCCATGTTAGGACACAATATCCTACATTGGAAAAATAACATATCCTAGAGTGTTTTAAGATCTCATGGGCACCCTTCCTTTACAAGCCGATTTTTAGGGGCAAGTTCTACTATGGGCTCTTAACATTTGGTAGTCTGGCTTCACCACGTAACTAGGCCCAAATTCACGGAAAGGGCAACATGTAGGCTAGATTAAAAATGATCGATGTCATGTATGGCATGATATCGAGTCATTGAATATGATAGGTGAGTAAAGCCGCCTCAAACGAAGGAAAGGGTTACCATCGGGTCAGTGTCGACAGAGTGGGCCAACGAGGACGTTGGCTACGGAAGCGTGGAATGTTAGGACTCAAGATCCCACATTAGAAAAATAGCATATCCTAGAATGGCTCAAGAGCTCATGGGCACCCTTCACTTACAAGCAGATTTTTAGGGGCATGTTCTACCCATGGGCTCTTAACATTCTAGTACCGATTTCGAGCTTACCCGAGTTGGATAACTTGGATTCACATATTATAATGGTGGCCTCCTTCTACATGTTAGCTTATTTTACCGATCATGCTCATTTGCTACAAAACCCTAGGGTATGGGTTTGTTTGAAGAGAGAAAGAGGGAGGAGAGATAAAGGGAGAGAAGATGAGAGGACATAAGGAGGGAGGGGAAGAGAGGGTGGGGTGTGGGGATGAGAAGATGGGGCGATGGTTATTGGGCTGGGGACTAGGATGTGGGAAATGGAGAGAGGATTTTTTTTCTTTTGGTTTTAGTTTTTAATTTATTTAGTATTTTATTTAATTGGACTATTTCAACTCTATATTTGACGACAACAGACAGAATGTAACGGTAAGATCAATGCACCGATTAATAAAGAGTTGGTGGATCATTTGAATGAATAATTTAGTTGATGGACCAAAATACAACTTGGGTTTAAGTTTGAGAACCATTTGAGTTAAAAACCCATTGGAAAATTAAACAAACTTTGGTTTACATTCCTACGCAATCCAAACATGAGAAAGGAAATAAAGTGGTATTTCCTATTTTCCCAGCATTACCAAACATGGGAAAAGAATCTTTCATTTTCTATCCCTTAGAAAAACATATGAAAAATTATTTCTCATTGAATCCGCGAAGCAAACAGGACCTTAAGATGAGATGAGATGAGAAACAAACCTAACAAAAAATTTGACATATAGAGACCATGAAGATAACGATGATGATACGGCAAAATATTTTTTTTGCTGTCATATACCATAGAGTACCATAGAGAGCATATATATATATATTTTCCAAGTAGAGATCATATATATTACCACACATCAAAATTTAACCATATAAACTTATATCTTCTATCTCTGAATTTTTCCATGTTAAGGATGTTCTTATGGTAAGAAAAGTGCTCACATTCTTCTTAGGGAAATGTATATTTCAACAATCGGAACCATCTTTATTTTAAATTGTTCTTACAAAAAATAGATCCAAAGTTGTTTGAGTCATCTAAAACTGAAACGGAAATTGCTAAATAATTTTTTCTTTAATTATTCTTCCGTATAGATAATCCTGAAAGATAACCTAAAAACTAAACAATTTCGATCAATGGTTTACAATCTAGAATAGAAAATTTCTTATTTTAAGTAAAAACCTCCTTATACCAAAGAAAACATCTACCATCTATATCACCTAATCTAAATACTTTGCACCCGGTGTGATTGTGAGGAAAAAAAATCTGTATTAATTACAGGGTAGGGAAAATGACAACGATAATAAATAGAAGCAATATGATTTTTTTGCTATAAAAGCACAAGGAATGCAAATGCCCCAGTCCATCCACATCAGACTCTCCCAGTGATCAAGATTGAAAAACAATGAAGGGATCAAAAGGAATATGGCAGTTGTACTGTGTTGTGTTGTTCCTTGCCTTATCATTTGGTCTAAGTACTCCATGGCGATGGCCGTCGACACCTTTCACAAAGAACTTCGTGCGCATCGTCAACAACCTCAGCAATAACCAAACATTCACATCTCATTGTAAATCCAAGGACAACGATATTGGTCTCCATACTCTCGCTCCTAACGAGCAGTACGAATGGAAATTTCGTGTCAACATGTTCAGTTCAACACTCTACTTTTGCAACTTCTGGTATAAGGACTACCATAACGTTTTTGATGCCTTCAAAGCCAAGTATGAGTTTATTTACGATTGTGGTGGAGCTCATTGCGTATGGAAAGCCAAAGATGATGGGATATACTTGACTCAAGGCCAGACGATGGAAGATAAGAAATGGTATGATTGGAAAAAAGAATGAAATGTCAAAGGGTTTTATATGATATGAGGCTTGCTTTAATTGCTTGTACTCAAAATAATAAAACTAGTTTATTTTCTACTTTGATTTCTTCTTGTTTGTTTGTTTTTTTATTTATTTTGTATGTGCAAGAATAATGTTTGGTCGGAAACAACAATTTAGACAGAGATCAAACACTGATTGTATGGTGCTATTTCTTTTATCATTTGACTGGGTTATGTCAAACTTAGGTTTGGTCAACACTCATGTAATATTAATGCTGCTGTTGATGGTATCAGTATTGGCTTTCTTTTGGTCAGAAAGTACTGGTTATTGGCTTAATCGCAATTCGTTTGTCATTTTACAATTTAATCAAAACCGAATGAGTTGACCAAATTTAAGACTCTTAAATGATACTGTAAAGTTTTTTATAAATAAAAAAAACAATTCAGGAGAGAGAAAGTGTGACATGATTATAGGTGGCAATTTATTTTTTATTTTTTTTGGAACTGCGGCGATAGATTGCATTCATAATTCAGATTGAAATGTTGTCATTTACCAACAACAAGCGGACGAGGTATACTTCCATTCGTAGCCACACATGGCCTAAGAAATTCAAGCAAAAGAGTCACGAGTCTGGAACAACCAAACGAATACCTCAACTCAACACTCCTAACTACAACTGCAAATACAACTTTATAGTTTGGCTTTCCATAAAGTATATGGAGTCACCTTTTTGACCAACAATATATGGAGTCCTTAAATGACAAAAACAAATTCATTAAACTTTGGCCACATTACAATGTATATCCTTGTAATCCAAGTCAATTTCCATTTTAGTATTTGTAAAATTGTAATTTCAATTATATCAATCATAAAGGCTATAGCTTAAACAATTGCAATTAAGACAAAAAACAATATTTTTGATCAATTGAGTGGCAAAGTGTTGACACTGGACAAACTTTCATCACACTGACACGTGTTGTTATTAATTCTCAGTTGGGCCAAGTTGTGGACATGACCTTGGCCCTAACTTTGTATTTGGGCTTAGGCTTATATTAAATAATATTAATAGGAAATTACAATTTTCAAGTTTTATTTTTTGATTAAAACAAATTAGGTCTTGTTTGATTGATTAAATTCAGGCTATTTACTTTCACATTAGCTTGAAAATTGAACTAACATAAATAACAACATTATATATTCTCTTGTGTATTGAGAGGAACACAAGATTAGGAATTTAAATAGATGATCGTCGGAAAAACTACAAGCACTGAATAATGGCATGGAATTTTGTCTTTAGGACAATTTATTAATTTGAAAGCCTTTATCGATTGATCAAGTCTGGTTTGTTTATCTCGTTTATATTAAATTTATGTCTCTATTGACTTATTATTCGGTTTAATAATTATTATATTATTTATAATTTTTTTTAACAATAACTTGTGATTAGTAACACTAGGTGAATGAATGTGTAACTGTCACACCTAAAAAGGACATGTATAGGCTATTTTCGTCTTTTCATGCAAGCGCCATGTATTTTAAGGGGATTGTTTCTTTAGAAAGTACTTATATTCATAAGTGCTTTTAATAAAAGCGTTTTTATTATAAAAATCTTGAATTTTCATAAATAAATAAAATTCAAGATTCAAGTGCTTCTTGGAAAAGCATTTGGGAGTGCTTCTTGAAGAAGCACGTAGCAGCTGCTTCTCCAGAAAGTGCTTCTATAACTCAAAAACGTTTCTAAATTTTTCAGCCAAATACTGTCAAAATCACTTTTAATTATTCTAGAAGCACCTCTAAACATGCCCTAAAATGTTAAAAGCACTGGTTGCTATATATTTCATTCGTTCCAATATAGCTTATGTGGAATGAAATAAAATAAAACGCTAACCGAAATAAACTTGCACGTGAGCACCAAATAAATAGTTTGATAGAATCTACATATATAAAGCAAAAGGCTAAGAATGGTGAAATATTCAAAATACAAGAAAATGTCATTGGTTAATTCAAACATTAAGAATTGAAATTATTAATTAAATGAGGATAATATGGTAAATTCACATTTTTTCATATTAAAAAAATTAAAATTAAAAACAAAATTAAATTAAATAAGAGGTCTTACTTTTATAGAACATAACTACCCATTTCTTAATTCTAAAAAAATAAAAATAAAAATAAAAAATAAAAAATAAAACCAATTGGCAGATGCGTGCCAAGGGGCTAGTTAAAATTAAGGGACAAAATTGTTTTTTTTTATTTTTATAAAATTATTCCAAACTTAAATTGTAACTTTAGCTTGAACTTTTCCTGACAAATGTTATTATAAGACTATAAACCGGTAGTCGTCTTCCTTATTTTCCTGGAGGCCACCGGTCTTCTTTGATCATACACGCTACTTTCTCACACCACCTAACCCCAACTTGTCGTTAATGATTAAAATAAAGGGAGTTTCACTAAAACACCCAAAATGGAGGTTGAAATTATAAAAAAACCCAACACCCAAAACACTTTATAAACACACCCAAAACCCATCATTACACACACTCAAAACCCATTTATAAACACACCCAAAAAGTTGACTTTGGGGTTGATTTTGGGTGTGTTTCTATGTTTAAATAGTGCTTGGGTTTTTTTATAAATACATGTCTAGGATTGGGTTTATTTATAAATTTGTATAAAATAAATGAATACCATTATAAAAATCGAGTGCTATAAAAACCCATTTCAATTTTTCAGCTCTTCTGAATCTTTATAAGACTCAAAACGCTACCCTCTCCTCTACTGAGAAAAACAGAGGGAAAGAACGTTGGAGTCGCCATGTCTGAAATAGTCAACGAGGCTTGGAGAAAATATCTCATACAGCTTCAATCCCACCCTCTCAGAACTAAGGTTTGTTTCAGTTTTTGAATCATACCCAGTTTTTCTTTTCGTTTTGTTTTTCTTACTCCGTCTTTGTAAAGATTTCAATTCAAAGATGAATACTTGGGCCTGTTTTTTAATATTTTTTTGCTTTTTGGTGTATAAGTCATTAAATTTTTTGGTTTGTTTACTTTGAATTGATGGGACTAGGCAATTACATCTGGAGTTTTAGCTGGGTGTAGTGATGCAATAGCCCAGAAGATTTCTGGGATCAAAAAGCTTCAATTGAGAAGACTGCTTCTGATAATGGTATGCCTATTTTGATCATGGTGTTTAAAATTATTGTTTCTTTAACAAATTGCTAAATGGTTTGGATTATATTCTCAATATTGGTCTGAACTTTATAAGAGATTATCAAAATTGGTGTGGCTGCAGAGAAAATGGTGGACAGAACAAGGAACTATATGTGTTGCCTTGTTTCTTATGCAGTTTTGGTTTCCTAGAATATATTCATCTTAGCAACCATGTAATGAATTGAAACTCAAAAAATTTACATTGGCCTTTTCTCAGATAGATTGGTATGCTTATCAGGTTATATATAATTGTGTTATGTCATGATCATGTATATCATGTTGGAATCTGAAGCTTAAATTCGTTTTCAGCTCTATGGGTTCGGGTATGGGGGACCATTTGGGCACTTCCTCCACAAATTGATGGATATAATATTCAAGGGAAAGAAGGACAACAAAACTATTGCAAAGAAGGTAATCGTTCTTTGTGAAGTCGAGTTTTGTGCTTTCCAACATATAATTCTCATGCTTTGTTCATGCTAATTTGAGTTAAATAAATGCCAGAAGCCCGAATGCAATTTTTGAGTCAACTATTGATGAATGAAAATTTAAAATATCAGGTTTTGCTAGAACAATTAACTTCTTCCCCTTGGAACAACATGCTTTTCATGATGTACTATGGCTTGGTGGTTGAAGGTATGCACGTATCTTTGGTATACTCTTAACTGATCTGTCTCTTATTCGATATCTGGTATCCATTAATTTTTGGTCTTTAGTTATAGTAGCATGATGGCTTGGTGGGACTTGATTGCTCTCTTGTCTTTTTTCTTTTATGTTTGTTCTTTCTTTGGTTCACCAACTGGGGCAAGAGGATGTCTACTGTGTATACTATTCTTTGAGTCAGTTAGTAGGATATATCAATTTACATTTTTATGGTTTTAGAGCATTTTAAGCTGCAGGGTGTAGACCTCTGTCCTTTTAATTGGATGTTTTTAAGCTGTTATTGTGGTGGGCTTGGGTTTAAAAGGGGGGAAGTCAAAAGTTATAGTTATTGCATAGTTTAGTTTATCATTTAGACAAAAAATTTGTTTTGTTTCTAAAGGTTATTAAACCACCAAACTATTTACTTTAGAGAATCCTGCCTTGAAACCAAGCTCCAGTTTATCCATGTTTATGAGTTGTTTTCGTTCCCTTCCACACAGGATGGTGTGAACATTTCAAACGTCAGTTTCGTTCTTAAGAGCAGAGCTGTGCAGCTTGCTTGAAACATCTAGAAGGCATTCCAGTTCTGTAATATGTGTTATCTTGATAGAGTATGTTTGGAATCTGTGTTCAGGCCAAATAGATACTGAAGAAATGATAATGAAATTTTGGTGCTGAAGCTGAATTCATCTTATTCTGCATATTCTTTCTTGGTCTTTATGATTTTTATCCATATATCATATTAAATTCATGCCTTAATATGTTTTGATCTATCATCCAACAAATTACCTCTCTCCTGTCACTTGTTCCTCTGGCAATTTAATACTCTCAAGCATGATGTAAATTACATCTTCGGAAGCTTGACGATTTTGTTGCAATGCTCATGCGGTAGAACTCTGAATCAAGAATCATGATAGTGGACTTGTAACTGATGCATTGCTTTTTTTACTTTGGCATTGCAGGAAGACCATGGAATTTAGTCAAGAGTAAAGTTCGAAAGGACTACCCTTCTATTCAATTGACAGCATGGAAGGTATAAAATATTAGCCATCTTTCATTGTTTTATGCTCAAGGCTATCCTTGAAACAAAGATTTGGAAATACTGACTTGATGATGGTTGCAGTTTTGGCCTATTGTTGGTTGGGTCAATTACCAGTATATGCCCCTGCAATTCCGGGTCTTGTTTCACAGCTTCGTTGCCTCGTGCTGGTACGCTGCTATATTTTTTCTCCTTTGTTGCCTCTTTAAAATAAGAAAAAAGGATAGTTGTACAACGTTGCCATATCCACATTGTATTAGTGCTTCTCAGATACTCTCCTGTACATATCTAATACGGTATTAGTATTACCTCGTATAGACTGTTAAGTAATGATTATAGCTAATGAATGATCAAATAATTTTATTTGAGGGACGCCCTTTAGGGTATCCTACAATTTTTTTTCCAATGATCCAAACCATCCATTTTTTAGGTCTTCATTCATAGATCATCCTTATAAAAAATTAGACAAATCGGAAACCGTTTTGACATCCAATTATGTCTTACAAAATCAATGAACACGGTGCTTCAAGAAAGTACTAAAATTTCAATAACTCAATTGAATGGTCAAATGATATCGGATTCAATTGATTTTTTGTAGAGATGATCTTTGAATGTCTATCTACAAAATAGACGGTTTGGATTAGTGAAATACAATCTGGAGTGGGCCCTACGAGGGGTGTCCCTCAAATAAGCTTATTTGAGGGATCCCTCAATGGAAGCTCTCTGTATATATATATATATATATATATATATATATATCGTTTTGTGGCATATTTTTTACTTGTGTCGTAAATATCTAATGCAATTCAGATCATTGTGCAACTAAACCTACTCACTCTTAACTTGCTTATTTCAGGGCAATCTTTCTCAATCTGAAGGCTAGATCGGGGGTAATCAAGCAGGCCTAGAACACCTAATTTTGTTCTTCCCTTTTTCTATGTTTGATTGGAGCTCTTACACTCATTTTGTGAAAATGGTTTCCTGATTAGTATCCTTTGTATAAGTTTCTAGCTGAATTAGTACTATGAAGCGGTCGATTTTCTTTCTTACTGTCAGTTCTATCATACGGTTGAATTATTGTAGGATATACTTAAATCTAGTTCAATTTGCAGAAGATCAACAATGTTTCAGTTGATTTTGTGACATATTATTTTCTGACTGTTAGATTCCAAAATCTGCAACGCCATCTGATCAAATTTAGATTTACCTTCGAATGGCCAGAGGAAAAAATAAATTTTGACGATGATTTTTAGAAGCTGGATTGCGCATCTTTCTTCAAATAACTAACAATTTTATTGTAAAGAAAGAAATTGCTAATGTATGTGGGGCACAAAGCGCGTGCTAAGAGACTAGAACACATAAGTTCAAGCAAGCACACAACACGCTTCCGCGTCATCCATGATTTGAACTGTTCGAACATCCATATCTTGACTACTAAACCATGGATTTACACTCCCCTGCCTCCACAGTTGAGGGAGGCTCAACTTTTCTTTGTCTGGTTATGACTTCATACACCACTTCAACAAAAAACTTCATAATTACTGCGAAGAAAAAAATGACCAAAATATGACGAACAACAATGAAGTAAACGACCAAGGTTAATGATAGTTTATGGTCTTCATTGTTCTTCATAATCTTAATCAAACAAAATGATCCCCATATAGCACCTGTGAAGCAAAAATACATGCAAATTCCCAAAGCTTGAGGCATAGTCAAACATTCCTTCTCCTTGTCCATTTCCATAATATATCAGAGCCCACCTGATGTTCTTTTCACTTTTCCAGTTCTTTGTGGTTACCTGAAAATATATGTGACATGAATTTTAAGCAGGGGAAAACAAATTAGGATTTTATAAATTACAATTTTTAATATGTACATATTTTTCTGGATTTTTCATTCAATTGTGGATTTTTGTAATTACCTTGTTAGCATTCATGACAAAATCCAAAACCCACAATCATATATGTGGTTCAGTTAAAATGTTATATAACAAGATCATGAAAGTTATTATATTCAAGTTAATAAATAACCAAAATTAAGATGTGTGCGCTTATATGATTATCGTGGTGAGTTTAAAGCTCTAGTGATAGAGCTCACCATAAGAGTTCGACTCTCGTCCTCCCACTCCTCGAATTTCAAAAAAATGAACAAAGAAATTAAGCGTGTATCTTTGGAACAAAACCTCAAATAGTCTCAACAAGTAGCACCTTATGGTAAATTAAAGAACTATAAGGAGGAGGAAAATATATTAAAACCCTCATAGACATATATCTAACAAGTCAAAATAGTTACAAATTCAAACAAAAAAGAGAATAAACAAATAAGACTCAGCTTTCAAAGTTTTGTTCAATCTTAAATCCAAGGACCTCCAAGTCCAAGAAGGTTGAGAAACTTACTTGTATACAGGTAGCTCTAGTCAAAAGCAAAAAGACCCCCTCTGTCAATTACTCTTTCAAACTGCGAATATATAGAATTCCAAACTAAACTTGAATTGCAATTATATAAGATCGATGAGAGCCAAGATATGGGATTTTGGTGGGAAGTTTGGTTTGATAAATAAATTACTCAAAACGCATTTGATTTGTACATGGGCTCCCACCTCAAATCGTGGCCGTTAATTTTTTATTTTTATTATTTTTTTCTTATTGGGGTTTCAATATGGGCTTTGAGCAAAGACTTAAGGCCAGAATGTGGCTTTGTCAATGTTACTTCACCTTTTTTCTTTTAAAAAGTACATTCCATGTGATAATAGCAGTCATTTTGTGTACATTCCATGTGAGAATACTTCTGCGGGGTGTGACGTTTTGCATATTGTAACCAAAATTCATACCAAATTTTAAGGCCTACCCCCTTTTATGATTTTAATTCCATCAGTTCTTCTTCTTCACAACCCTCAACAAAAAGAAAATTCTTAACAATTATTTTCATAGTTTTTATGCTAATATATCAAGAATTAGTTGTGTCTTTGAGTTAGGATTTTTTTTTTTAAGACCTTTCCTATTGAGAGAAGCGTTAATATACTAAACTCACACATACTATACAAATATTTGGACTCAAACCCATAACCTGTCCTGGATGAGCAATTATTCCAAACCACTATGGTAGTAGGTCTTTTGCTCAAATAATTAAGATTAGAATACACTATTCATTCTCAAGTAAAACATTTGTACATAAATTAAGTTTATTTTAAAAGAATTAGGGATAAAAATTAAAAATTGCAATTAATTATGAAGCAATACTTAATAACTCTGTGTTGTTTGATGAGTACAATGTTAATTATGAATTGTTGACCCCATGAATAATTTTTGGCTACACACTACATCGTTTATTCCTTTTTGTTCTTTTTGAATGAAAGGGTTACGTGCCTCAGTGTTTATCGTTTAGCCTAAAGACAATTCAAAACAAAGAACTAGAGGGGGGCACGCATGAATTGTTGACTGCTGGTTTTGGAAGTTTGTATAGCCACTGAGATAATGGAGCTTTTCAGAAATTAAATCCAAGTGAAAACTCATTCATCCCTTCATCGCTGACTCTCAATGAAGTACTCCAAATCACTTTAGTTTACGGAAAATAAGATTAAACTCGAGTGCAAATGGGCGAGTATTTTAGTTCACTGAATTAAATATTAACTTGGACATTTTGTTTTTGGTGAGAGTTTGAAAGGGAAAGGAGACGAGAAAAATGGCCTTGAGATTCGAATCTAAGAAAATTGATCTGTATACGAATCATCTAACCATTGAAATATAGACCTGTTGGCATTAACTTAGACCTTCTTTTGATAAGACAAGTTGATTTTATCAGGTACTATTCTTTTATCTTTTTTAAGTCTAAGTATGTGTGAGTGGCTGATATCTAAAGTGTTGTAGTACTCTCACATATAGTATAAGGTACGAACTTTAGAAAAAGAGAGTAGAATAACTCTACAACGTCCAAAATACAAATCATGAGCTGCGGTCGACATGATTGACGTGGCGGTGTTAATTCATAATGAAAAAGAGTAAGGAGTTGGAGAGAGCTGGTAGAAATTGATGACCGATGGTGGTGATCCTTTATTTGGAACTTCGATCAAAATCAAAATCACCTAACTCATTTGAAATGCAATCTAACCAAAGCAACCAAGCTTCAAGCCAGATCATGAGTGTAATGTATAGGGAAATAAACGAGTACTAATATCTTAATCGGTATGTAAAATCAATGTTTATATTGTCAGATTCACAATATGATAATAAGCATCTTACACGTTTTCAAACTATCTTGATCAGAACGAAAATACGTACTCTATATATACCACTCATTATACTAGTATGTCAAAATGGAGAAAATTATTGCATAGAGTTGTTGTATACAACTTTCTTCTCAAAAAAAATTAGTAACATCATTAACAAGGGGGGGCTGAATATGAGAGAAGTGTTGTATACGGTACCGGCAAGATGTTTTGTGGATGTAGGGTTCATTTATAGAAGTTGTGTCATAAATGACTTACTGTATTAAGACAGCTTAATGGGGAAACTTCCTCGAAACTTACACGCAAAAAAACAAAGGTTGTGTGTTGATGGAAGAAAGAAGCACATGAATTTTCGACAGGAAAACGTCAAGCACAAGGCTTGTTCAGACAAGAATTGCTCTAAAATTTTGGCACAACTATCTCATTTAACTTCAAGAAGTGGGTTTCCAGACAAGACATTTTCCTTTTAGAGGAAGGTTTTGGTAACAATTCATCCCAATGTTTTTTTTTAAAAAAAATATCTAGGGTTGGGCATTTGCACGAAAAAACTGGCCACACTGACTGAACAGAAACGACCACGCCAACTTATCCTCTTTTTCCTTCTTCTCCTCTTCTCCACCGCCGCTGCTCATCTCTCTCTCTCTCTCTCTCTCTCTCTCTCTCTTCCCCCAGATCTGCTCGGGCTTATCATCTAGTTGAATCTTGTCGTTCGGTCCATTCTGCTCTTTTTTCTCTTTATCAACTACCACGCTCTTTTTTCTCTTGTCGTCCGCCACTAGTTTCATCCATCTCTATCTCGACTCGAATCTCATTTAAGTCGACTGAATCGAGCTTTCTCGATGAACCAATCACAGTTGATAGAAACTTTGGACGGTTTGGTATTAGATCCCAGAAATGACTCACCTATGAGAGCAGTTCCATTATCGATTCCAGCCAAAAAAGAAGCCAAACCGCATCGAGCCCAGACCTAAAATCACCTCACCTTTTTTTTTTTTTTTTTTTGTTGTTTTTTGTTGGGGCTGTTTGAGTTGACCATTTATACTATAAATTATATTTAATGGGGACCTCGAGGCCATGATTGTGTGTGCTTTGATTAGCTTCTGTTGAGCATTGCATTTGGTACGTACACACATGACAACCCACAGCTCATGGATCACGTTGTTGATTAGGAAAACTTAGTTTTAAAAATGTGGAGACTAATCAGAAAATTGGATACGAACACTTATTCATACCATAAAAGACTGAATATAATAAGGAACTAGATTCATAGACAACCTGGTACAAAATAATCCGTCCAATGCTTTAATTATATATCACCTTTATTAGAGAGATGATACACAAAATGTATAAAAATGTGATATGTCTAGCATTGCTCGTTATACAATTACGATGACTATTTGTCGCATAATTCGAGTTACGGGTGTTACTGATATTTCCTTCTACGCAAGTCCAGCCCAGGACCTGAAAACCTTAAGTTATACCAGAAAGCCTAGAAGCTTAATGGCAGGAGCAACTGTAATAAATCTGAATAATCTGCCACCACAACAACCTAACAACTTACCCGATGCCCAAGTGTATTTGTATACATTATACATACGTACCCACATCAAGCAAGCATGCATGCAACGATATATGCAAAACAAAGAACTCACAAACACAGATATATAATTGTCGAAAATCGACTTTAAATATATAGATTAAATAAGCTAATCAACAAGAACAACAGATTAAGCACCGGAATTTCAAATGGCTCCGATCTTCACACAGCAGACATGCATTCTGTCATCTCTCTCTTAATTTCTTCTTCGTCTTCTTCTTCTTCGTCATACTCCTACAAATAAATACAACAAAACACAGAACGCAGACATTATCGTCATCACAAACAGAAGAGAGAGAGAGAGAGGGAGAGAGAGAGAAATGGTTTTGATCTCACTCGCCGCCTTCGCACTCTCTCACACTCACTTACTCTCTCACTGTTCACGAAATCCTGCGCTTTGTTTTGAATCAGAAACTCAGCCGCTTCTATTTACTATCAACTACCACGCCAACTAGCTGACGTGGACCAAAACCATCCAGCCAATCACCAAGCGCCACGTCCCCAACTTACGCAACAATACAAGGCCCGTTATATATATCCCTGTTGTCACATCTGAATCCACTTCGCCAGTTGCGTCGGGTTCACAATCCCCGGAATGTGGGCCCCATCCGTCTTCAACATGCTCGCCACCTCAGCGTAACTCTCCTGCGCCGCACCCACACCCGAACCTGAGCCCGCCCCGATTTTCCCGGCTTCGACCGGCTTCCCCCTCCTCGGCTCGGCTGACGAGCTCATCAGCGGCACCGCCTCGGCTCGAGCCGGGTCGAACTTCTGACCGAACAGCGTGCCCTTCGTTAAATACTCGTACGCCATGTAGCCCGCCAGCAGCCGATTCGACGACAAAGTCGGAGCTGTCATTTGGCTTGGGGTTGGAGCCTTTGGAGCCGGCTGTTTAAAGCCGTTGGACGAGGCATTGGCTTGTCTGTCCTTTCGCTTTCTGGATGCGCCAGGTGGCACGATCCTACGGCTATGGCTTTGTTGGAAACTCATCTGTAAGTTTTGAAAGATGTGATTTTAAAACTCCATGCCACGTCAGCGAACGAACCTCGAAATAGAAAAAAGCCAGAGTGGGCAAAACCGTCAAGTGGGGATTCGTTGCCGGGGGACAAATGCGTCAAATCAGGTACCGGAGGACTCTTTTTTAAAACGCCAGAGTGAGGATTTGTAGAGTTAGAAATGTAATTTCACAAAGAAAACAAAGAAGAAGAAAAATGCCTTTTTAGAGAAACAAAAGGAAATTTGAAAAAGAAAAATAATTATTTGTGAATTGGAAGGAGATGGGGTGGGGATTGGGGGTTAGGTTAGAGGCTTAGATTCGATAGATGAAATCGGATCCAGGTAGCTGTGGCCCGAACCGATTGGGATGGTGATGTATCGGAGTGTACACAGCGCGAAGAGAGAAGGGGGGCCACCGGAATCTGGCGGAGTATGGGGAGATACAGAGGTTGAGATTGTAGAGAGAGAGAGAGAGAGGAGAAGAGGAGGAAGAAAGAAGATTGGGGATTAAATAGAGAGAGAGGGAGACTGACTGAAGCGGCGTGGTTCATGAATTTATATGTGGTTTGGTTTTACATATGCCCCGCAGTTTTGAAGGAATGACATAAATGCCATTGCTATTGTCAAATGACTCAACTGCCCTTTTGTTGTGAAATACTATCAGCTACGTTTTTTTTTAATGAAAAAATGTTAAGGGGAAGGGGAGGCTACCCCATTTCCGGGATCAAGGTGTATCAAGGTCTTTTTGATGATTTACAGAGGGAGTCTTAACTTCTTTTTGGGTTTTTACTAATTACCCACTAAGAGAAATTGTCAGCAAGACTCGAACTTATATCTAAATTCGAAGATAACGATCCTTACCAACTCAACCAACCGTCGTTGGCTACTAACTATATTTTCAATTATCAAAAGATTAAGTGACATCGCATAGAAAGCCACGGAACGCAGTCATATAGACCATCGGGTTTGGTCATGGCGGTTGCACAATCGCATGCGGCTGCTGGCGTAGATAAAATACTTTATTTTTCTATGCCAAAAGAAATTGTGTTTTTAAAATCTAGAGAGATGTATTGAATAACTTCTTACCATGATTTTCCACACGAAGATTTGATTATGTGGATCGATGTTTTTATAGTGTTGTACATTTGATCTATATAATGATAATGAGAAATGTTTAGGAGAGTTGTCTAACAATGTAGAAACGGCTAACAAAAAAAATACGCATCCAAATAAACATACGGGTGATTATGGTTAACACTACTTAGAACTAATTAATTCGTAACTAATGTATTCAACATAATAAAGTAAAATATGTAAAACAAAATACTTATAACTCTACACCAAAGTATTTCATAGAAAAATATATATATTGTAACCAAAAGAAAAGATTTCAAAGAAAAAACAAAAATTCGTATAAAAATTCCAAAAAAATATAACGATGTAAATGATACTCTAGTCTTCGTCATCTTCATCATTATTATCGTCTTCTCCGAAAAATGCCACAATTTTCTCAAGTTTATTAAGTGAGAAACTCATAAAATGCATCTCCTCCAATATCTCACTTCTAACATTCAAGTCATTGTTTGACCCAAAAAAAAATCAAGTCATTCTTAGAAATTGCATGGACCAAAAATAGTTTTCCAACATCGGGATTTTTTTTGCTCTACATCACCTCGAGATCTTTTAGGATAAAATCAATCACAAGACTTTAGATGATAGAACTAACACCTCATCACATAAAGTTGTTAAATTAGAGACAATTAATTGAGCACACATAGGGTGATTAAGGCGGTGTCAACTCAGGTATACAAAAGCAATGAGTTGCCAACAAGTGATATGAGAGTCAATAATTTGGAAAATATCCCACATCGGAAAATAATCCACAACGGAAAATATTAGGGGGCATTTGGTATCCTATTTAAACAAGGAACTCAAAAACTTTGATTTTTCCTAAAAACAAGGAGGTCTTAAATCTATTTTTAAAATTCAAAAATTTGTTTGGTATGCAACTTGAAAATTGCTTTTAAATCTTTAAAATTTGAGAACTTGTGGGTTATTAGAAAAAAAAAACTGAAAAAATATATGTTTTTTGTTTTTAATAATTAGGGTGTTTTTTTAGTTGTTCTTGAGTTTGAGTTTTAAAAAATAGGGCTACTAAACAGGTTTTTTTTTGTTTTGGACTCAAATTCTGTTTTTGAGTTTAAAAGGTTAAATTCAAGTTGAATACCAAACAGACCTTTATATTTTCCAAACAATTTGGCATGCCATCTTAACAGCACGATAATTTGAATATTTGATTTGATGAATTCAAGTTCAAATATATGATTTAGATTATAATTAGCAACTTTAAGTACCTTGAAGCTTACCATCTCAAACATAGAACAAAAGAAAATTTGTCGAATGAAATTTCGATTATTTTTTTTTGGGTTAAGTTTTTGTCTTTTTTTATCTTGCCAGAATCTTTAAAGTAATGTTATTTTTGGGTCGGTAAGTAAGTTCTTTAAAATAAATAAAAGAAGTGTAAAGCTATAAAGAATAGCCAAAACTTTTTTTTTTCCTGAGAAAAAAATAGCTCCTAAAAAAAAAACTATTGGGCAAAGGGCCTTGAGCTTATCTTTGTTTGAGGTTGCCCGACAAGGACGTTAAGGGTCAAACGGGGGGTCCATATTTCTGTGTCTCTTTCATTAGTATTTGCATCAACTAAATTGGTGGTATTGACAAATAAATGACGATAATGATATATATATTTATGGTGAGTACGATCTTTAATTGTGATTAACGCTATTATGTTACTATGTAACTTTGTTGTGATTGTATTGTCCGGTCGTAAAAGTACTTAGCAAATATCATATCGTTTGTAAAATAATAATAAAATCCAATATATCCTTCAACACACATATTTTGAGAAATTAATATAAGACATGTTTCGCTAACAGAGTCTAACCCAGTCAATAAAAGAGCCTTATAGATAGACCATAATATTAGTAATGATACAACTGGAAAAAAATGAGATTAATATCCCGCAGAAAAAACTGATATGTATTGCGACCTTTTTCATACCTACTCCGATAAAGGAAAAATAATGGCATATATGGTGGGCAACACCAAATTTGCATGATTCACCAACCAAACTAACATGGCAGTAGTAGGAGTCTCAGTTCTCTTGGTCTTCATAGACTAAAGATTTTGTTGGTCAGCTATTGTTATATATATATACAGAGAGCTTCTATTGAGGGATCCCTCAAATAAGCTTATTTGAGGGACACCCCTTGTAAGCCCCACTATGGATTGTATTTCACTAATCCAAACCGTCTATTTTGTAGATACTCATTCAAAGATCATCTCTACAAAAAATCACTTGAATCCGATATCATTTGAACATTCAATTGAGTTATTGAAATTTTAGTACTTTCTTGAAGCACCGTGTTCATTGATTTTGTAAGACACAATTGGATGTCGAAACGATTTCCGATTTGTCTAATTTTTTGTAAGGATGATCTATGAATAAAGACCTAAAAAATATATAGTTTGGATCATTGGAAAAAAAAATTGTAGGGTACCCTAAAGGGCGTCCCTTAAATAAAATTATTTGAAGGATCCCTCAATAGAAGGGGACTGATATATATATATATATATATATATATAGTCAAACGAGTGAGCTATTGTTGACTCAGAATGCGATAAATGATTTAAGTTTGGTTCATACCTCAATATATCACTTTATATTTTGGAATTAATGTCAAATTATCACTAGACTTTGACCCAACAATTAGTCACCCATAGAGCAGAGCTATTGTAGATATAAAATAATTGAGATTTTTATAGAAATGTCACCTGAATTTATATATTATTTTTAATTTGTCACCTTAAAAAATAAAATAAAAATAAAAATAAAAAATAAAAAGAGAAAAATATCACCTTAATTTTTCAAAATCCATGATTTGTCACCTAACTTTAATACCATCCAATTTTCCATCAAATTTTAAGGATATTTTAGTCTTCCAGTTTCAATGGTATTTTAAAAATAATTTTAAAAATCATTATATAAAAAATTGTATATCTTTTAAACAATTAAAATTGTATAAACAAAATCTCAGTCCAATGATTCCTTGTGACATTAAACGAGAAACATGATTTTGTAAATAAATCAAAACCACGATTTTTGTTTATGTAAGTGAAAGTCTAAATTATAAGGGGAGGGATGAGGGTTTCTCTCTCTCACACACACACATACACACTACTAATATGTTATGGGGGTTCAAATTTGAGAATATTGATTAGCAAGCCAAGACCCTTTTTCACTTAATTAGAACCCATTGGCATCAAAAACACAATTTTAAGGAAGCAAATTTAAACAAATATATTATCTAGGGACGGATACAGAATTTTAAAATCGATTAGGCTAAATTTACCTTACAAAGAAACTCGGCGCCACGGGTGAATTTCATTGATAACAAAAAATGATACACATACAATTGGTAAGGAGGGAAGGACCCTTCAAGTCTTCAATCACTAATTATTGATTCATTATCGATATTATCGGAAAATTCCCTTAGATGAAAATGCACATAGAATAAGAAGAGTCAACACCAAACTCTTATTCATGATTTTTAAAAAATTCAAAATTCAAAATCTTAACAAAATCCCTAATAATTAAGTGAAGAAAATTACCACAACAAACAAAAAGAAAGGAAAGTTTTGCTATGTTTCTCACATGCTTGCTTACTCAAGTGTGCTTTTGAGTTGTATAATAGGTATCGGGTGAGTTGGTTTCAAATCTGGGATAGTCTATGGTTATTTGAATACATGTTTTTTAGCATGGGCTTGTAACTAAGCAAGACATTAAAGTGATTGGTTGCTATGAAAACCTTCTTAGGTGGGCCATAATGGTCTTGGGCTATTCACCTTAATATTGGTGAGTGAAGTCGCACAAAGCACAGCCCCTACCCTCAGGGTTAGTCGGGTCTCCAACCTTTGTGGTTGGGCAGCAACTA